TATATCTAAAGTTCTGATTGTGTTTAGCCTTTATATAGGCTAATACATAACTTTCAAAGGGAAAACAAAGAGTTAAGAGTCTCCTAATATTAAATTTAACATAAATGCATTTTAAATAACTAAAATAACTACATGACTTCATTTCAATGATGACTATGTTCAATGAGCCTTCTAGGACCTTCTTCTTCATAATTTTTGGACCAACATAATGATCTTTTAGATTGTTGTAGTCATGACCTCATCACACTGCCTCAAATTTACGAAATATTCTGGAAAACCCGAAACATATTTTTAACCAAAATCAAATATAATAAGTCTAGGTTCTCCATAAAAAATTTCAAGCAGAAATACGTTTAGGAAGCATTTTTCACGAACTTTTCTTACCAGCTGCGTCAGTCAGAATTTTCTCAGGCAATGATTAAATTGAGTAAAATTCTTCCCTTTTAATCACCACAAAATCACCATATCACATGTGCAGGGATTTCAAAACATCTAAACTCATATATCTACTCAAATAATATAATCAAATAACTTTCACAACTAAATATCATCAATTTTTCAAAATCACGAATCACATAAACAATTAGAAAAATCAATTTTTGATTTGGGGTAAAAGGATTTTAGTGAACATAAATCTTACCTCTAATAATGTCCAAAAGCAATCACCTAAGCTTGATGATCTTGACATCCCATTCTTGAATCAATTGATAAGAACAAAAGGCTAGGGTTTTATCTATTTAGGAGGGAGGGATTGTGGACAAAGAGAGATAGAAAAATATATTGAATTAGGTTATCTCGAACAATATGACTATTTATTAGACTTAAATTAGGATTATATTATTTATATATATTATTAATAATATAACCGCTTCGTACAGTAATACAACTTACACATATTTTAGAATTTGGTTTGCTATATATTCTAGGGCGTATGATTACATATATAATTACGAAATTATGAGTGTAGTTGTAGACTATTATGTTATATATATACGTACAAATATATGTAACTAGGAAAATATATATGTTAGGAATATGAAACTATTACGCTCAAATATATAATAATATTCCTAAAATAATATGGAGTAAGAGACTATAAATAATCTTGTCACGTACGCACGTACGGTCCTCGTACAGTGCCCAGAAAATATGGGGTATCACACTAACACAATTGAACCCTAAACACAAGCTCTAAACATGCCAAGACTCAAGGGTAACACATAATTGTTCAAGAGCATCAAGAACCTCAAGGACAACAAGAAACAACCATATAAAACCCTAAAGACAAGCTCTAAACATGCTCAAATGCAAGAACATGCATATAAACACATTATGAATATCAAGAACATCATGATTATCAAGAAACCACAATATAAACCCTAAGACAGGCTCTATCAAGGAATAGTCACAAGATCACACATACAATCATTCAAAGAAGCCATTAAATAAAAGATATCAAGGAAAATAGGTTTTGTATGACATGGGTTACCTTTTTGCTTAATTAAACTTCTCACAACTCCTAAGATCTTTCCTATCGATCTTTTTTAAGCTCGATGACAAGGGAATTCTTTGTCTAGATTCTGGGAGGGGATTTTCGGGTGGTAGGGAGAGAGATGGGGAAAAGAGGGTTGTAAAGGCTTTCTAATTCCCTTTATATATGTTTAGGATTCCGAATTAGAATCTGATTAATAATGGGCTCTCCTTCTTTATTCCTAACAGACTTTAAGGTTTTAATATAGACAAGGGTCCACGGTCCACCATGGACCATACCCATTAATTAAGGGGTCCCGGGCCGAATTAAATCCTTCTTAATTACTCCTTAACGGATTTAATTAAATAATTAATTCGGATTTAAAGGGTAAAAACACGGGGTGTTACACTCTTCGCCCCGAACAAGAAGCTTCTTCCTTGAACCTTGGACACGACGCGATCAACAAGGCAAGTAGTCTAGAAAGTAGATTGTGTGGCAACACTCAAAGTATTGTTAAAAACCGGAGAAGTGGTTCGTCATGAGGCTTATGCCATGCCAAACCAACCAAAACTCGTTCCAGTGCTAGCTAGCTTACTCAACTCAACTCTAAACATTGTATAGGCCAAAGCATTCAATCAGGAGGTTTCAATACACTTTCGTTTCCAAACAAGCAGAAATCTATGATCACTCAAGTTAGGAGGTAACTAAGATTTCAAAAGGAGTTTACCTTGGTCCCTAGCTCCCAAGCTAGAGGCTCCCAAAGGTCCGTGTATACCTAGTCTGGTCTCCACGGCGGACATCCTTCGGTCCAGTGAGCGAACCGAGATGTTCAGTGACGAGAACCCTTCCTCAATTATCCGGTTTTGCCTCATGATTTGTGCTAGGATGGGGTCATTGGTTGCCCTCCCATTGTGTTTTTCATCGGGTCTACTTTCCCTTCGAGTGGGCTCTGTGTAGCCCGGTTCATTGCCTTCCTCTTCTTGCTCTTGCTCTTCATGTTCCTCGTCCTCTTGGACGGCTTGCTTCATTTTCTTGTTCGGGATACCCAACTGCTCCATTAGCATTCTCTGCTCGGCTATGGGCTTCTTTATTACCTCCTCGAGGGTGATGTAATTTCCCTCACCAAATGGTAATTGTTGTTTGCGGCGGAGGTTTTGGGCATTGAAGATCATCCCGCCTATGGGTTTAGCCTCAGACTGGCTCACATTTATCCCATTTTTCATCATGATCTAACTTAGGATCATACCATAGGGCAAGGTTAGCTTGTTGTTGGTTTTGTAGAACTCCATATGTTTGAACATAAGGGCAGACAAATTGAATTTGACCTTGTGCTTAAGGAAGTAAGCAAATGTGCATTCTAGGCTCCCAACATCCTTGCTCTTGTTATTGTTGGGCAACAGACTGTCTGTCACAAGCATTACTAAGACTTTTTGCTCAGCGGTTAACAATTGCTTGTTTGGCCTCGTGGCCATGGTAATTCCGTCTTCCCTTCCCAACAAATAACTCAAGTGATCCTTGTACCCAAATGTTCGAGTACAAATCCAAGCTTTTAGGTCGTATTTTGATACGCCCGTGGTGGTTAATTTTACGAGTTTGGCCAATCGGGCTTCACTCAACACCAATTTCTCACCCCGGACTTTGGAGGTGATTTCCAACTTGTCCCCATTTTTGGTGGCTACCATGTGGTGGTAGAATTCTTTTACCAACTCGGAGTACGTATCGCATTTTATATCCAAATACACTCCTAACAAGCCTTGAAATTTAAGCTTATCAACCAATTCTTTAGAGAATTGATCGGGTTTGAGTGCTTTACCTTCCAACACCGTATAATCGGCTTCATTCCATTCTGGGTTCCAGGCGTTAGCGGGTCTCCTCGGCATTGATAGAAGCACTAGAGGGTGGTTGTGATTGGGGCTTGCCTTTCCGGCGATAATTCCGGTGGTCACGTTGGTGGGCTGCTCGGTGGTTGCGACGGTGAACTACGGACGACGGGGTTACGTGCACGGGGCATGGGCGACGGTTGCAGCGTTGCGGTGGCAGCGACAATTCGGCATGGCTGGTTTGTTTGACAAGGGGGGTGGCTGGGCGGTGTTTGGCCGGTTCCTCGTCGACGGCGGTGGCTGGGTTTCGAACGGGGGATGGTCAGGTGGCGGACGGGTGGTCGGTGGCTGGGTGGTTGAGGGGATGTTGGGGGTGCTCGTGTAACACCCCCGATTTTCACGACATTTTAAAAGCTTAAAAGTATAAAACAAGGTAACTAATAGGTAGCAATAAACTTAAACCACAGCGGAAGTCTTTAATTAAAAACGGGAAAACCAATGAGTGTTATGCTATATTCACCTCAACGTGAATGCACAGGCAAGTCTAAAACCAACAATCTATTTTGTTCAACAACCGTGGCACACAGGCCAAAACACTAACTACATTGTTCAAGGGAGCTAAACTACCAACACTATCGCACTCGTCATATCTACTCAGGACCTGTAAAGTACATAAAGAAAGGGGACGACGCCCGGTCAGCGAATAATACTGGTAACCCATCAATACGCGTTAAGTAGCAAATATAGATAGTATAATACAAAACCATTTTCGAAACGGAATACAGTATATATCAGTTTCAAAGCCATAATGAGAAGTCAACTGCAAAGACTCTATTCCACTCTCAAAAAAACAAGGGAAATCAACATCCCAAAACAACGTCAAGACAAGGACAACAACAGAACAACTCAACACCGCTCAAGATGTAATATACTGATCACAAAGCAGAAAACATCACGGTAAAGACAACAACATTAACAAATACAACTCGAGGTGTATTCTACTGATCACAAAGTAGAATACCACTCGACATGCTTATCAGAAAAGGATAGATATTCACACATTGGCACTACATGCCACAGTGACACTTCATGTCACAAGTTCCAACCTTATGCCCTGTTCCAACCTTATGGCTACCCCCAACCTTATTACAGTTCCAACCTTTACCTCCGAGTGTCACCCTGTACTTCCAAGTCCAACCTTTTGCCTCTTAGAACCGTCGTTCCCCCACTACTACAGAATTCACATACAACGTCGGACTTTTAACGTCAGCTATATATATAGCCGACGTTAAAAGTATTTTCTATTATTTTTTTAAAAAAAGTATATAACGTCGGCTATTAATTAATAGCCGATGTTATATGTTACAAATAGAAAAGTAAAAAAATAAAAACAATACGACGTCGGCTATTAAAATAGCTGACGTTGTAAGTTTTTTTTTTTTTTTTTTTTTTTTTGAAAGCTACTGGTTCTATTACATTGTAGTATCTGTTTATATACTTTCTCAACCTACTGAAACACAAAGAACCAATAACGCCTCCACTGAGGCTCGAACTCATAATCTTCCAAATGGACGTTGTAAGTTAAATTATTTATTTTTTAAAATTTGTTTTAACCCTATGACATCGGCTATTAACTAATAGCATATGTCGTAGGGTTTTTAAAACCCTTATAATAAACGAAAATATTCATTTGTTTCAAACCTTTCTACGGCATGTACTTCATCTTCCCCGCCTCCACTGCGACATCGCCTTCACCGCCACAGCCACACGTCGCCACCGCGCCCATCGACACCGTGCGTAGCCACCGCTCACCGCGACACCGCCCAGCGTCACAGCCATCGGTTCGACGCCTCGAGCTTCACCCGCATAGCTATAGCCACCCACCGCACGGCCACAGACACCACGCATCTCCGCCGCTTCCCGCGGCACCGCGACATCGCCGCCTGCCTTCCCGAATCTCCCAGGTTCGACGCCTCTTTTTTGTTTGTTTTTAATTAATTATTTAAATTTTCTAATTTCTAATTATTATTTGAATTATAATAAATATATTTGAATTTATTTGGTAATTGTATTTCGAATTTTAGGAATTATTAGTATATATTTTGAATTTTGAATTAGGGTTCTTGTTAATCAGGTTTGGTGTCTTGTCTTCAGTTTATTTCTGCCTATAGTGCCATTATTATTTAAGTTGCTCTTGTTTTCCTTATTGAGCAAACATACCATTTTGTTGATATATAAATATCTTATTCAGTTACCATGTAGTTTTAATAATTGGTGGAATTTGTTGGTGTTGTGTAGGTGGATAGGAAATTGGTGAAGCAAACAGTGATGAAATTGGTGAAGCAAACAGTGGTGGAGTGTGGGGCAATTGATGATGACTCTGAGCTTTTTGGTGCAGCCTGTTATGGTGCAAAAGTATGTGTGTTAGAGCATATTGTATTTAAATTTGTTAATGTGAAGAACATTAGATCCTTGCTTTCCTCGGGGAATTTCATTCGTTGGTGGTAAATTTGTTTTTTTTTTTTTTTTTTTTTTGCATTCAACCAATACATAGATGTGTTCTGATCACAAGCCTGACTATTACAATGGCCATAAAAACTTTATTTAGATCATCACAAATTGCAGTGATTTTTACAAAATGGTTGGAAATTAGGATTGTGTTATCACTTTTGTCAGGTGTTAGTTGTAACAACACCATGGTGGATAATGAAATATGACTTAAATTGAGTAGTCAATGACTACCAAATGATTTTTTTGACGAGCAATTTTTTTGATGACTAGGTCACATTGACTGCACTAGGGGAGATGTTTCAAGCTGCACGCAGTATCATGAGCTGGCTTGGAGAATGTGCAAAGGTTTGAAATGGGAGCATTATTGTCTGTGGTATTGCTGTTTGATTGCTAGTAACATTAACCCAACCCAAGTCCCCAACCCCACAGATTGCCACCATTTTAGAATTTGGCATAATACCAACGATTTTCCTTTATTGAAATATGCTACCAGTATAGCATAGGATGCCCTTATGTACCCTTTGTTAGCATCCATTGCTTATTCTAGTTTGTGCGTGGAACATTTATTTTGATGCGTATTTTCATTTCTATTAACTACAATGTTTCAATAGGTCATTGCTTCTGAAAACCATCCTGTTCGATGGACAACTCCTCTTGGACTTCCAGTTGTGCAGCCGTACCGCAAGATTGGAAGGCACCTTGTAAGTGTTGTACTGTTATTGCTGCATGAGTATGAGTATGTGTATTTGTTTCAGTAAAAACATGTGATTTTCTATTTAGTTGGTGGAGAGGTACATATATTCTAAACAAAGCTTAATGTTGGACCAACTAAATTGTAATCTAGAATCTGGTGAATAATGCTCAATGTAAGCTCGGATTGAAGTTGGTTTAAAAAGTCTTCTATCTGATTATGGATTTCGAATAGGAAATATGACGCTATTTGAATTATTAGAACATTAAGTTTAAGTCGCTATTGACCCCACTGAAATTTATTAACTATTTAAATAGTGCATACATTTTGAATAAACTTAACTATATGTCAATAGTAATACTGGTTTGCTCTTAATATATACGTTTTAATAGAATTGAGTACAAGTAAAAGTCTGTTCAAATCACTTTAGAGTTGTGTCCTGTGCAATGGCTGAGATTACATGTAGGACTTTGTCATCAGTCTAGCTTTAGTTTTGAAAAAGTAACATGAATATTCATCTGAGCACTTCTAACAAAAAGAGCATAGTTCAATGTGTCATTGGGGACAAGAAACCAATTTATTTGTGCAATTTGTTGCTATATCAAATTACATGGAACTGATGGAAGATTGCTATATCATTATACACTTTATTTTAAGTAGGTGGTTATATATAAATATTCTTAGAGTGACACTAAACAAGCAAAAAACAAGAAATATGAGTTAGTACTGTAGGATATAAGTTATTTTTTGTGCCTAAAAGGGTTTCTTTTCTTGTTATCTTCTTCATCGTTTTAGGTTGTGTGCCTCCATATGTTTTCTATGCCTATATAGTACTAGTAATTCTTTTCTTGTTATCTTCTTCATCTTTATGTTGTGCCCCCACATAATATTTATAGCTCACAACTGATTTATGCAGATTTTCTTTGCTGTGTTAAAAAAAGCCTAAGCCTCTCGTTGCCAACAAGTTGCGGCGGTTTGTAAAATCAAAGCATCCTTATGTCGAGCACAACCTTAGTGCTGTAATCAGTATCATTAGGCACTCTATCCAAAATTCTGCTGCATATGAAGCTGCTGCCAAACAGTTAAGAGAAAGGCTTATGGAATCAGTAAGTTCTCAAATTATGCTCAAGATTTTATCTTATGTTATTGCTGGTTTTCCAAAGGGAATTAAAAATTGAGAGAAGATAGGAGTTGGCCTATTAGAGATTAAAAAAAAAAAGAAGGTAAATGAAATTCTATTACTCAAAGCTGTAATTGACAGCAAAGAGGCATGATTTTTACATATAAAAAGAAGGCAATTATTTTTGTTTCTTGTTGTTGGTTTTTTTTTTTTTTTTTAAAATATATTTTTAATTAGTGTTATTAATTATTTGCTATCAAGATTGATCTTGTCTTTAGTGAATGCTTGTTTACTCTCTTAGATCTGTTTGTTTTGAATTTGTCAGCCTTGAGTTCGGGTAGAGAACTATTCTCTCATATGATATGCTATAAAACCTATAATCTAAATGGAAGAACAACCAATTTCAGTCTGAAATGAATATGAGAAATACAGGAAAGATGATAACTTCCATACTCCTGTTAGTATATTTCAATGTCAATATGAACATACTAGCAGTCTAGCATGGAGAAGAACATCCTGGATTTTTCTATGTAGGTAAGATTTCTTTTTCTCTTTATTTAATTCTCTTATCCCTAATAGATACTGCTTCTTTCAACTAGAAAACATAAAAAACTAGCTCTCACTTGCAACCAGTACTGCTAAATTGACAAGGGTTCTCCTCAAACAGAATAAATGTCTGTCTAGCCATATTAATCTAGCAAGCAGAGAACACCAAAATTTTCCATCAATGTTGATTTATTATCTTAGAGCAATCAGCATTCGGCCTAGGATTGGATGTCTTTTTCCCTTTTACCCCATTGATATATATATATATATATATATATATATATATATATATATATATATATACTTGGTAGACAAGTGTTTGATATAAGCCTCATTCTTATAGGTAACCATAAAGGAGGACTATCTGTAGGCAAAGCAATTTCATCTGGTTGCAGTGCAGCTGATCTTGTAATCTTCATCAATTAAGCCTTCAAATCACCAATGAATGCAGTAGATAAGGTGCCTTTCATGTTCTTATTATAGTATATTTGTATTTTTTTCTTGAAATATTCAGATGCTATTACTTTTGTATTCTTTTCATGTGCCTTTTTTATCTTCTCTTTAAAAAATTTCTAATTGATGTCATGTGACTCGTGTCCCTTCCCAAACTGGCACTTTTGTAATGAAGTTACTATGCAAGCTCAGTTGCAGCTCCATTTGATATGCAATGCAAGGATATCATTGTATTAATTGTGAGATTATAAATATTAAATTGTATGTGGGTGTGGTATGATATTTGAACAGGCTTTGAATGTTGTTGTGATATATATATATATATATATATATATATATATATATATATATATATATATATATATATATATATATAGGTGTGGTCATATGGTCAATTATAGGCCATTAGATTAGATAGATCCAATGAATCATATTAATTACGATTTTTTCAGTATTTTCGCGCACATTCTTCTACCCAGCGAATTGTAAGGGTAAACTCGTCATAAAATCACCGGAATAGGAAAAATCACATTGTTGTGTGTTTTATTACACTATTGGTGCATGTTGTCAACATTGTTGGTGTATTCTGGAACCTGGCTGCTATAAATGGCAACTGTATTTATCATAACACGGGAATACACCATTGGTGTGTTTCACTGTAGTGTGTTTTATTACACTATTGGTGTATGTTGTCAACACTATTGGTGTATTCTGGAACTCGCTCATTATAAATGACCACTGTAATTATCATGACACCCCCACTTACCAAAACGCGTGAAAATTCTCAAAATTACCATTGTCGTTAGATTAAACTGATCTAACGACACAAATACGACCACACGATCACACCTAATGACATGACCACATATGAGCGTTCTTCTATATATATATATATATATATATATATATATATATATATATATATATTTCAGCAGTGGGTATAAAGTTATAAACAGACTATTTTTTTTTTTAATTACTTAACACGTCGGTTGTTTACAAAAAACCGACGTGTATGGTAAATAAAAAAAAAGTTAAATACATACGACGTCGGTTAGTGTAAATAACCGACGTCGTATGTATTTAATTTTTATAAAAAATTGACTTACAACGTCGGTTATTTCGTAATAACCGACGTTGAAAGTGGTATTAATTAAATTAAAAAAATATACGACGTCGGTTTTTATTTAACCGACGTCGTATGTTTACTAGCCGACGTTAAATGTCCTAAATAGCCGACGTTAAAAGCCTTCTGTGTAGTAGTGTCCCTCCAACAACCGCCAAACAATATCGCCGAATGCTTAGTACAAGAGGATACTTTGCAATATCATAACACAAAACCGCCAAACATGTGAGCTAAACTCACGATAACCAACCACCAAACTCAATTCATGGCCACTACGAGGACCACATCTGTACCTTGGTGATTAATGTCCCATACCATTAACCGTGCAATCAAGTTACAACCAATACACACAATCTTATCACAGGAATCAATCAATGGATCACAACAAAGATATGAAACCATACTCAACAAGGAAGGATTACAATCCGAAACCAACGATGATCAACACAAGTTATCATTCACAATTGGAAAGAACAAACCACACACGCTAGCATTTCAACATCAATCTAACATGCTTATCAAACGGGTAAACCAAACATAGTTCCTTAGAACATACAAGACTCATCATGGTTCAACGAATCACAAAGTTGAACACTTAGCACGATTAAAGACACCAAATCCTACATGGATTCCTAACATATCGTTCTAGACATACGAAACATCAAGAAGACACTCAAATAGCCCAACAAAACAACATCGGGAGGTCAAAACATCAATTACTGAGTCAAAAGAATCACGGGGAACAAATCCCCAAACAACACAATCATGTACACCGCGGGTGGGGCCACGGGTGGACCTCCACCCGTGGTTCCACCCGCGGGTACCAATACCCACGAGTGGTGTACCCCGCGGGTGGGGCTGCGGGTAGTCCACTGCCCGCCGTTCCGCCCGCGGGTACCAACCAAATTCAAGTCCAAAACACCCAAAATCTTACAAAATACAACAATATGACTTGAATCAAAGGAATAGCCAAGCAATGGCATACAAGAACCCTAATAACAAGCTCTAGATATGCATTCTTACAAGACAATGTATCAAATCTCACATTTCATAGCAAAAATCACAAGTAGAAGTCAAGAAATCATCATATAGGTAAGAAAATAGATTTGTAAAGCATGTGTTACCTCTTGTAGCCTACTACTTCACTTATCACAACCTTACAAGCTTCTCTTAAGGTTCTCCTTCAACTCCAACTTCATAAACACACCAAAAGACAACAAAGATTCCATCTTTAGAAAAAGACACTTAAAAAAATACTAAAAAGACTAAGGGACCAAGGATCTTACCCTCCCTTATGCTCAAACTCAAGAAAGTATGAATCTTGGAGACCAACTTGAAGAATCTAGGATTGCCCAAACTTGGCTTGAAGAAGAAGCCAACAATTTTCTAGAGAGAAGGAAGAGCTTTTGTGTTTAGGGTGTTAGGGAAATGAAATGAAAGATGACTCTAGGTTAGCTTGGAACACAAACATATGGTGAAAAGTCTTCTTTACCCTTACTAAAGTGGAAAGTGTAAGGATACAAGGGAACAATTCATAAAGCATAGAGTACAACCCTTTGACTTAGATTGACTAGTCAATTTCTAGTCCTCCGATTATTGAATTTTCAGGATTTTAGGAATAAATTACCTATTAAGCTAGGATTAATTATCTAATTAATCCTTAAATAGATTTTTGATTTACGGGGTGTCACAGCTTAGCTAAGTGTGTGGGGGGAGGGAGAGAGAGAGAAGAAGAAGAATAAAGGGAAGAAGGGTTTTTGATTTTGGGATTTTGCGTTTTAGGGATTTGGAAAGAGGGTTAAGAAGATTTTGAATCCCTTAACTTTCGTGAAACACTTGTGGTTTAATGGTTAAGAGCTTGGTTTTGGAAAGGAGAGATCTAGGTTTGGAATCCTACAGGCTACACTTTGTTTCTGCTAAGGTTTTTGGTTCAACTTCCTTGTGCTTCTTAAAGTTTTACCACCGCTTGCCTTAGTGCAGGGTTAAAATTCTGAGTCAAACCACTTAGTTGCATCCTTATATTTACTAAGTATTATTTTGAAGGTCTCATAGATCGTAAGGGACATGAACAATTATCCTGATTAGCTCGACGGACGGGACATGGAATTAAACCAATCGGATTAACTAATTAACTCTACTCAAAATAAGGAGATTCAAAGAACTACACAAGGTAAAAGTTCTATGGCAATGAGAACGGGGTAAAAGGGGTTACCTCTTAGCCTAAACAAAATTCTTCTCCAAGATTTTCTGCTAATTGATCTGTAAGGTCCTCGTCTCCTATGGTTATGGCTTCGACTCCGTCCTTGGCTTTGGCTTCGGCTTGAGTGCGACTCATGATGTATACCTTCCCAGGTGCCCCATAGCTTCCTCGGTTATTAGTATTGCCTTGTTGCCCTGTGGGCGGTGACCTAGCACGTGCAGGTTGGTTACACTGAAAAGCCTTGTGCCCCCCTTCTCTACATTTGAAGTAACGCAAGGCATTCCCTTGGCAATCCTTGCCCCGGTGATCCTTACCACATATTCTACAAAGGGCTTGCCCCCATCCGGCCCTGATGTTTCCTCTAGGCGGCCCTTGGGCTTGCTGAGGAGTCGCCCTAATGTGGGAATCTATCATCGGCCTCTTTAAGTTAGGGCCTCCACTTCCGTCGTTCTTCCTCTTTGCTTGCTCTTGGACTCCTCATTGCGTCAGCTGAATCCGATAAAGATCGGCAGTGCTGATGTAAGCGTCATTGAGGGTCCTTGGCTTGTTTACGGTCAAGGCTTTCCTAGCCTCAAAGTTGAGCCCCGCAACGAATTCCTCTACTATCGTTGTTTCCGTAGGGACCAGTACGTGGGCGAAACGAGCCAACTCTAAGAACCTCTTGTGGTATTCTACCACTATAGAGAACCTGATAAGCCTCAAAATATGCTAAGTTTCTAAGAGCTTTTCTAAGGTTTTGCATGTGTAGTTTAGCCTGGAAGTCTTATTTTGTAACACCCCAGATTTTCAAGACATTTAAAACTTATAATAAAGGTAGAATCTTATTAAATCCCAAGATATAAATACAAGCGTTTGGGGTGCTATGCCACACCTGGGCTAGAGAACCCAAGTGCACAGGCTAACTAACTAATATCCTCAAAGCGTAATTACGTGAACGTGGCACGTAGGCCAAAAGGGAAACTATCTACTTCTAAGTTCTAGCGCACTCCAGTGACTTAATCTTCTGTGCCTGAAAGCCAAATATATCTGTTCAGCGAGAGATGCTGGTAACCCACTCCAACGCGTTGAAATACAATACATATAGAGATATATATAGATATACGAAAACCATTTTGAGCATGAAGATATATCCTACGAACTCTAGCTTTTAAAACCGGGAATGACTCGACAAGTAAGGCCAGACACAAGCAACAGTTATAACGAGCATATGCAGTTCACAATAGATAAGGCAGATAAGGCAAGGCATAAACAATAATCATAACCCAACATGAACAATCCCCAATATAAGTCCCATAGTCACATCCCCCAAGACACTCATAATCACAACTCATCCATATCACAACACATAACACACCTTGTTGGCGCCACAGGACCAATCGCATGCCCATACATGAGGGTCAGCGCATATAGCTCTGACACGGCCCCGCAGCACCCTGCCCCGTATCGCAACACGGAGGGGTCGATCGCAACCGACCGATGAACCGCAGCTCATCATAGTGTTTGATCGCAACCAAACAGTGGACCGCAGCCCAAGAGAATGTCATCTGACCGCAGCCAGGAAAAAGGACGAACCGCAGCTCGTATAGAAACGTTTGATCGCAACCAAACGGTGGACCGCAGCCCAAGAGAATGTCATCTGACCGCAGCCAGGAAAAAGGACGAACCGCAGCTCGTATAGAAACGTTTGATCGCAACCAAACGGTGGACCGCAGCCCAAGAGTATCAATCTGACCGCAGCCAGCTTCTGAACCGCAGCTCAGGATAACCAATCCGATCGCAACCGAATTGGGGTAACACACACACATAACACATAGCAAGCACATGCAACCCACATTACACATTGGGAAGGGGGAGAAAGCGTATAACAAAACCTATGCGTGATCCATCACATACTAAGAATAGTCCTAAGGGGTTCATACTTCTTCCACCTAGGTCAACGGGATACCAA